ACGCAGACCACGACTGGTGACACTCTTAAGACTGGTGACACTATAAGACAGCGATGGAACAGAATATGCAGTTTAAGCTCATTCAGTTGGCAATGCATTCCCTTTGACTACAATCGTCGCAAGAAAACGAAGTAGATTGGGCTGTCAAGATTTCCTCACTTTCGAAGCGGCCAAGGAGCAATGAAGACGGTGGTGTGTCTTGTCGAAGGGAAAATCTGTCGCATTGACGTCGGGGAAAGTAAGACCGTGGCTGACATCATTATAATGCTCGCGCGCCAGATAAACTATCCACTTCCCGCGTACTGCATAAAGGTATACCTGATGAAGCGAAACGGCAAGTGGCTCAAGACAGGGAGCCCTGAAGCCCAGCAGCTCATGCGATTGAGCATTCCGTTTAGTGTCCGAGCCACGATAATACTCCACGGAGCTATACGTCTCTCATCTGTGAACGACCCTGCATTTGGGTTCCTGGACACTGAAGATGTTGGCGACGACGACATCCACGTCTTGGTGCGGAATGTGACGTTGAAAGTTGCTCACCGTCGTATGCGTAAGTTGCAGCGCCCATTGCGTTGTATCGTCCTAATGTTCTCTCTGTGTAGATGAATTTGGGTGGTATGGAGTACCATATCATGTCACGGCATTGAGGTGGCTCCGTAAGCGGCTTTTGTCGACGAATGTGGGTCCGTAAGCGGATTACATCAACGAATAGCTTGACTGCGAAATACGACGCCAAGGCGAGTGTATACGACGCCCAGTCTAGTTGGTTTCAGTTGGGAGGTTGTTGGCGATTGTAAAGAATCCTGATTATCGGCAGGTGGAGAGTGGTATTGGGTTTACTCGAGTTTATCAAACGCAGACACCGCAGCTTTTGGGGATTAAGAACCGTGCTTCTGTGTCAAACGCATTTGTACTCGCCACGAGATGGTTCACGTTGTATTGTACAGTCTGTAGAAATGGTCGTGATTGATAATGGAATATGCGCGTAGATTCTCTACCAATGTGAGCCGCATCCAGCTCTCATCATGACGAGCCTCGCGAGCTTAGCGAATTGGTTGCTTTAATAGTCTGCGAGAAGAGAGTAGTGTAGCGACGATAAAGGAGTGCTCTACAACACTGCTCTATTATTAATTCTCCAATAGAATATATTTATTTTGCGCCAAAAAGTATATTTCGAGGTATGGTGCACGTCATCTATAAACTACCAACTTGTCACAAAATTTTCTGGCGGCTATTTCGTCTTCATTTCACAAAATTTATACTCCCTCCGTGTCACTATAAGTGCGCGACTTAGAGGAGGGTTGACATGACTTCTCATTATATTCTCAAGACATTCTTAACAATCGAAATCGCTCTCTTGGGTTCAAAATTAGTCGCTCTGATTGGACCATTCGAAAGCCAGTGCCAAAACGCCCGATTTGATCCAACTTCGAGCGGGAAATTCAACGAAATGAAGTCGCTGTGATCATTTCAATACATCAATAGAATACTTTATATAAAACAAACACTCAGAATGACAAACATTCAGGAATGACCGTCAAAAAGCGCAACCTGACGAACAGCAAGCGCGAGGCCGTACAGCTGTACTCCGTGAAGTGCTGCTGCACAGCAACAGCAGCTACTTGGTCAGGCTTCCCAATGGCCTCAGTCAAACACTCGCAGCCAAGTACAACTGCCACCCTGCCACGGTACGACGCGTGATTGGTCCTGAGACATGCATTTTGATTGTTATGATTGGACAATTGTATCGTTACACCTTTATAAATGCATGATCGTTATAGGATCT